TGGAAGATAATGGCTAACTCTAGACTTGAACATGTTAAGATTAAAGTGGCTGGGGAGATATTCACTTGGGAGTTTGTTCCACAGACCAGTGGTTTACCAGAAGAAGCTGTTCAAGTGGAACTTATTTCTCACCAATGAAATACAAAGAGAATGTGGGTAGTTGTTACTACGTAAGTGGCATATGCTAAATTTAAAAATGTAGCAAATCTTCTAGTCATAAATTTGATAGGTCTTACATTGGATATTTGGGACTGAAGTGATTCAGTTTGAATATGGCTAAGAAATCACAACATACCTGATGACACTAGTCAAAAACCTCCATTACATGACCCTATATATTCCTAATATTTCTGAGCACTATTATCCAAACTTACTTCTGAAAAGAAATATGATGAGAACATGATTTCAATCTGGAAATATTTTAAATAAATGTTTTCTATTAAATTATCAAAATAGCTTAATTTATTTTTGATATTATAAAATGATTTCTTTCCATTCTCAGAATGAGCAAAATAGGTTCTTAAAGATTACCTGACTTTATAGAACCATTTCCTGGAAATTTGGGATGCCATTATTACAGTACAAATTTTGAAAAAAGTTTACAAAGTGATGGTTGTACTAAGAGGTCATATACTCAAGGATATAATTTATTTCCCAATTTATTTCAGCTTCAGAAATATAGGATCATATTATACACAAGACAATAAAGTATATCTTTTGAAACATGATGGTTCTTTGTTCCTTAAAGAAAATGCCCGAATACTTCATGTTTTAGGCTCCAAAATATGTTCTGAAGACATTATATTATCTTTAAATTTCATTTTATAACATAAAATTTCATATATCACATAATATATCAATAATAATCACATAATAATCACATAATATCATAATAGTAATAAAAATATTACAATAATAATAATAAATAATAAAATAATAATATATCACATAAAATTTCATTTCAAAATTTATCATTTGAAGGTATTATATAAGTAATATTATACACAAGATAATAGAGTATATTTGTTGAAATGTGACGGTGCTTTGTTGCTTAATGAAAATGTATAAATACTTCATGTTTTAGCCTCAAAAATATATTCTGAAGATATTTGTTAAAAAAAAGTTGGTTCTACATTGTCAAGTCAAAAGTTTTAATAATATGTATCTTTGCCTCCAATGATGGTACTGCTTTTATAAATATCATCACTTGAATCCCTTGTAATGATATATAAATCATAATTTATTCTGGTTTCGTTGATCAAATTTTAGGACCAAGATAGAAAATGATGAGAAAATCGATTTTTAAATATTATAAAAACAAACTTCATTCCAGCTGGTACATTATTTATATCAAGGGTCTATCCTCTAGGGTATGTTAGGAGATTTGATCTTCAATTTTCTTGCAAAGCATCATGGGTAGCCCAACGAAACAGTAATTGGTAGAATTGAAATTTTGACATGTAAAGTATCACTGAAAACACTTCAAAGCAGTGGTTGATTGAGTTGATACTTTGTGGGTCTTGATCCCAGCAGAAACTTTAGTTGAGCAAAGTATTTCCTTCAGGTTCTTGTTGATACAGCTTATTCAAAGAAATAGTGTATTTGATGACAGAGAAAAACCACAGCAGGGAATATTAAGAAAAAATTGTTGGATGGTACATCAAATGTTCCTGAGACTTCATTCATGTTCCCTGCTCGTTCCAGTTCAAAAGAAGCTTCTTTTCATGCATTTATTACAAATTTATCTATATAATGCTAAAAGCTTTATTTTGTATGTATGTGTACCAGCAACCCCTTTCCTGTAGATGAAACATTGCAAATCTCTCACTACTCTTTCATTATTTCTAGGGAAAATGTTCAGATGAGTTATATACTTTAGTTCCACCAGTTGAGACTTTTACAGTAAAGGTCTGCCATGCCATGTAGTCGTTTTTGAATTAACTTTATTGCTTTGCCTTTTCACTTGAACATCTTTTTACTCCAAGAATCACTGCTTCATTGAATAGACACCTGGAAGGAGGCTTCCTTGATCACCATATTTTTAGCCTCTTCAGGTGTTAACCGTTATCAATCCTTCATCTCTTCATGATCTGCTTCCTCTTCTTATGCTCATATAACAACCTCAATCAGTAACCCTCAGTCATGAATTGCTATTGAGCCTTGAATTAAGTGAACAGTTAAAAAAAAAAATGTAACCTCTAATTAGGCAAAAGAGTGCAGAAAGCCAAAGGTATTGAATTAAGATGAAGCTGTTGGAGTAGAAGAGACGGCTACATTTAACAGTTTTGACAGTGAAAGGGTATGAGCGAGATGCCAGCCTAGTAGAACGTTTAAATTCATGAAGTTTTGGAACCAGCAAAAGCAGCTCCTCAGAGCAGTTACCATGAAAATGTTGGAACATATTGTAGTAAATAAATAAGAAAGTTTTATGATAGAAATGTTTTTATAAAGTGTTGTTATATGTTTAAGTTGTTTCAACTGTCTCTTTCAATTATAAGTATCAGTTTCTTGTAGTTTCTATTTTCCTGAAAACTTCCTCATTACTCACATGTTCTGCCCATTGTAGTGTTAGCATCCTTCTTTAGAACTATATCTCTGTTGCCTCAAGCCTCTTCTTCATCTGTGAAGAGAATGTCCAGCATTCATTGCCAGATCTTTATCTCTCAGGATATTTTCCTATCATTTAATACTCAGCTTAGTTTCTTAAAGGCACCATTCACAATGAGCCTTTAGATTTCTGTGTCACACTTTCCATCATCTGCTAGTACCCAGGCAGTTAAATTTCTGTACCTGATTTACAGAGCTCGAATTCAGTCAATTCTCAAGTGCAACCATATTCTTCCATTTTTGGGCCTACTTTCAAAATTGGTCATATATGAAATCACTAAATTGACTGAAAAATTTGAGATATTTTTATAAAACCTATGCATAATATCATGGGTTATATAAGAACAGAGTATATCATATTTGTATACTTATAAAACACTTTTATCTGTATCAAAATATTACACTGCGCCCAATATACTAGTGTAATATGTAATTCATACCAGAGGTCTGAAATAAATTTAATGTTAACAAGGAACCTTTGTTCTAAGAGGAGTTGATCTGTGGTGACCCCAATATGTACTGGGCTCACCCTAGTAGATACCAAAGTAAGCTTTGCACTTGGTGGCATACAAGAACATTAAAAAAGCCAGGTGCATCCAAGAGTTGACTTTGAAGGTCACCAAGTGTAAAATCAGGCCTCAAAGAATGACAGTAGCTGTCCCAACATAAACATGAAGTCAGTCCAACTAAGATGAATGCATATCAGGAAGTTATATAAATATCTGACCTGAGAGATAAAAGTTAGTCTCTTACATCCTCATGATAGGAGGTCAGTATTTGAAAATGCCCCAAAACTACACATCCTCATGCAAACATTAGTCAAAAAGCAAATAAATAATAATTTTGCATATGAAAGATTTACCTAATGTTCTTATTAGATGTTACTGAAGTCATCTAACTTTTGTATAAAAGATAGTAGGTTGTGTATTGAAAGCTTAAACTATCCAATTTAGAACTCTTCCAATTAAAAGTCTTTTTAAAAATAACGTTGAAAATTATTCAACTTTTAAGCTGGGTAGTGAGATAACAGGATATCCCATGAGTTTGATAATCAGAATAAAGGATCATCATCATTATTATCAGTTCCAGGTGTTGTTGTAGGGTCACAGTGCAATGGAGTCTATGACCAGTTCCTTCCACATATCTGGAAAGAAGTATTCATTCATGCAGAGCAAGTCTTGGACATGTAGAACTGGTTGAGCCTAGACCTCTCCATGTCAAATCACAGCCAATATCCTCCATCTGCCTTGGTCACAGAAATGTGGCCATTGATTCCATTGGGGAACCTCTACCCAGGCTATTGACTTTAGACTTGGAAGCAATGCCATGTCATCACCACCACACTGGCAGCTATATATAGCCATGGAGCCAAGTCTATCGCTTTGTGCAAGATAGCAGGTGACCTCTACAAGAACATTCATCTGTCCTTTGACAGGTTTTGTTCTCAATACTGTTGGGTGTCTAGATAACCCTCTTACTAGAAAAGCCTAGTGTGGGGGGGGGAACAGTTTAACTGCCAATGACCCAACCATGTGGCTGGTAGAACTGGTTTATATGGAGTGACCTGATATAAGTTATAACTAAAAGAAAAAAAAATTCTGACAAAAAAAAGAACTCAAATTTTACCAGTGAAAAAAAAATTTAAATTTGTTTTTTAATATGAAATTTTTTTGTATCTAATTTATAAAAAAAAAAAAAGAAAAAATGTCTTTGATTTAATTATTTTATGATTCTTATTTTTCTGGTAATTTCAAAACTTTGCTTTGGATAAGTTTTTAGCAATTTTATGAAGTTTCAAAGAAACATTTATAACCAAAAAGAGCAGGTGGATTTTTATCTGATCAAAAACAGGATGAAAATATATCAAAATCCTTTTTATAAAAACATTTCAATCATAAAACTAAGATATTTTCTTTCTTATTTATTTACTACAATATGTTCCAACATTTTATGCAAATCAGGAAAATTACCATATCTATAAAACTAATAATTGGAAAGTTACAAAATTTTGGTCAAATATAAGTCTTTGGTGTATATTGAATATCTTAAAATCTTAGGTTGGAACATGATGGAGAACTGAATTTATGTTTGAATATATAAAATATTTTTTTAGATCATTTCACTTTTTATGATTGATTGATTAATTTTCTAGAGCTATTTAAATCAGAAAATATTTTTTTAGATTGTAAGAAATTTTTTTTTTTAGATAATAATGGTTTAGTGATACAAGTCTTACTAATTAACCCATAGCTTGGAAGAGAAGAGGTGGATTCATATCCTTTGCCAAGGGTAATTGCACATAATTGAATATAACAAACCCAACTGGAATTGGGACTCTGGTCTCTGATTAACAATTCTGAGTTGTTATCTGTTACACCACCTGTACATCCAAGCTTACAACACATGGTATTCTCAAGCAGTTACCCATCTAAGTACTGACCAGGCTCGATGTTGCTTAACTTTAGTGATCACACAGGAACTGATGCTTCAATGTGATGTGGCCATAAGCATTTCAATTTTTATACTATCATCTCAAAAATCTTAATGTAAATTTAGGGAAATAAAAAAATAAAAGCCACTGACTAATGAAATTCATTTATTCAAAGAAAGCACTGTAATGACAAAAGTATGCAGGTGTAGGCTTTAAGAAAGTTTTATTCAACTCAGAATACAAGGTTTGTGTATAGTGTCCTTTTATAGTCCCGGTAAACAGAAATAGCTCTCTCTCAAAGAGAAGAGTAACTAAACAAGGGGAAACCACTCTTGATTAATCATAACAAGCACTTACAAAACTATTCATGACAAGCTGGGTGCAACAATAAAAACAGAAAATTAATATTATTTACTTATATAATTATTTCTAATGATTGAAGCAGACTAATGTCTACAAAAGTTAATTTCTTTGGTAGTAATGGCTTCACAAACAGGTAATGTTACTTCCCAAAATTCATTTTTGGATTCAAATTGCTTGCCGCCCTTATAAATATACCTCATGACAATGATCCAAAGGTTCATAAAGAGGTTTAGATACAAAGACTAAACACAAACCCCTCTACCTCCTTGCTGATGCATCAACAAAACATGTTTAGGTTCCTCCTCCAGGCACCACCCATTTTAACAACTGTCAGGGCCATTCAGCAATTCCCTACATTGATCTGTGACTAGCCTTTTCTGGAGATCCAGTTTCATATACTGTTAGGCCCATATGACATATGCTTAATGAGGTGATTCAACTTCAAAGTAGAAAGAACAATTGGTTTGGTGCACATTCCAAAATGCTTTGATATGCGGCATTGTGATGCTTTAGGAACACTAGGATCCCCAATGGCTTCAAATAAATCTTTACTATTCAAAAGCAGCTGTTTGCACATCTCAGATCTCAACTGAGTTTCCATTCAATGAGAGAAAGTCAAGGATTTTTGTATCTCCTCTTTGAGAGATCACGAACTGTATGCAGCTAAGTTTCTAACACATTTTTTGATTGTATGATGTTTGCTGGCAAGGAATTTAGCAATTTCTAATGTTCTTTAAGAATCATGAAGCACTTGATAAATATTTGCCTTGTTATTGTTTCTAAAACATGCTTCATGGCCTCTGTTGCTTCTACAAACTGTTGCTTCTGCTTGTGCTATCCAATCTAAATTATAAGAGAAACCAATTCTTTGTTCATCACATATTATCCACGTGTATTTTTTGTTGTTGAAGGTGATAGACATTAATATTTGATGCTGACTGTATTTTTTCATATTCTGAAAACCAATGTCACTCAGATAATATCTTTAAAGTAAAGTGAGTGAATAAAACTTAAATCTTGTATGTTTTTAATAAGCACCTTATATTTTTTTTAATATAATTGCTTCCTTTAAGTTGAAGACATTTTTTTATTATGCAGGTGTTTCAATAAGCTCATTGACTATTGATAAAAAGAGTATTTATTTTACCCCTAAAACATTTTCAACATAATCTCCTTCCCTACCAATGCACTTAATTCAATGAAAAATAATAATCATATAGACTGAATATTATACAGTGAAAATTTCAGTTAAAAAAATGTCAGACTAAAAACTTATTAATACACTCCCCTATATATATATATATATATATATATATATATATATATATATATATTAACAAAAGTGATAGAAAGAGAAAGAAAAAAGAATCTAAATTAAATCAGCTGATTAAAAAAAAATAGATTTCAAATTTCCCAGCATCCCTCAATTGTGCACATGTGTAGTCACACAAACATAACAAATTTAGTTTGATGAAGCCCTAAAGGACAAAATGCATCACAAAACTTTTTCCACTTTGTCATACCTTTTTCTCCAATATTATTCTTGATTTATAAAAATATATATCCTTATCTCATATATATATATTTCTTATTTTAAATTTTAGTGGATATCTTCCTTTTTATTAAGTATAATATATATGTCTACCAGCCTGTGCATTTAAGAATCTCAATAAAGAAACAATATGTTCCGACAAGGACCAGCATCTCGTTTTAGGGGAGTGTGCTTTATTTTATAAATAATCTTTTAAAAATCTCTAATGACGTGAATGCCTTGCTTTCCAAAGAACACATTTTTATTTCAACTTGTTGTTTTCAAATGTCCATTTTAAATAATTTATTCTGTACAATATAAGTTTTTTAGTGGAATGTATCAACTGAAAAAGGGCAAAATAAATTTAGCCCAACTTAAAGTCAGTGAAAATCAAAGAAAATAACAGCCTTAAATTGTTGATTGGATGGTTGGGGAGAGAATGTGACTGGGCTAGTGTTGAGGAAATATAATATCAGTTAACTATTCCTATCTTTAACATCAGTGACTTGATAATCAAGCAATAAAACAATAAAAAAAAATGGAGGTAAACAGACAAACATATTTTTTTTTTTTTTTTTTTACATGTCTGGAAAAATTCTTAAAAATAAATCTTTATTTTTATAGAATTATTACAATTAATATTAAAATATTAAAATGTGTTTTTTTTTTTAAATTTCATGCACAAGATTTTAAAAAATTGTTTTAGTTTGAGCAAAAAGAATCATTTTAGCATCAAAGTTATACTAACAGTATATTTTGCTAAAAATTTTAATGAGCCGGACAAATATTGATCGCCTCTGAGATTATATAAAATATTTTTTGTTATATTTGCCAATGTACAGCATTTATTTAGATTTATGGATAAATGAAATGGAAATGTTATTTTTTTGTGTATTAAAAACACCAAAAAAGAATTTAAAATAGAGCACTCTTATACATATATAGAAAAGAAATCTGATAATATATACAGGTAAATCAATAACTCTGCAGCCAGATAATGAAAATAAGCATCTATTTCATTGATATTGTTCATAACCATAATAAAAAATATTCATTTTTCAGCATAATATTTTTGTCAGTTCACTTTTCTTAATACTTCTCTACTAATCGCATATATTGAACATTATACAGTGAAAATTTCTGATCGAAATTCCACTCATAAAAGTGTGTCAGTCTACAGACCGATTGATCTACTCTCATATGCATTATTTTTAAGTGCAGAATAGGAAGAGCTACACAATATAAGTTGCAAAATGGCAAACAAAACTGAAAGTTTTTTTTTGGATGTTTAATAGTCTATCAGCATTTCTGTGCAGTCATGAAGAAGTCAAAAGAGGTGAAATAGAAACAGCTTAAATAAGGTTATTTAAGCTTTTGTAACCTTTTGATTGGCCAACAATTGTGTCTGATTGTGTTATACTTCAAATCTGTATGGGCGATTACTTTTGAACAATCAATGTTACACATAATTTTTCAAATTAACTCATTTTATTTGATAGTGATTTGAAATCTGGTCAAATTTGCAAACAGTCTGTCTTCTTTAAGACAAGATGGAGAAGTATGACATAAGATATTAAGAAAGACTTACTTTTACACAAAAGTTGTTTTAATTTGTTAGATAAGTTATTATAGAAACAGACTAACCAGTTATCTTTTTGTGTGTCTCTCATTTTGGAATATTAGACATTTTCTTTTTCTTGATTAGTTTGTAAATTGACAAATAGATAATTTACAGGCGGATCTCAGGTGTTAAAGCTATGGATTGCAAGCTGAGAGGCTAAGGGTCATGTTGCCATTTCTGTGTAAATATGTCTTTGCCATCAAACAGGAAGATTTTTATGGTAAGTTTGCCAAAATTTGCAAATGTATAAAAATATCATTTATACCATCTTGTGATTCATATATATTAGCAGTGGCTAAGGTGACTTTCAGAATCTAAGCAATTATTAAGAGATAGGAAAATACCATTAGAAACAAAAAGCGTACAAAACTGCATGTAATATTTAATCTCCAAATTGGTAATAAATGCTGGATATTCTTCTCACAGATAACAAAGACACTTGAAGCAACAGATATGCAATTCTAATGACAAATACTGAGAATAAAATGGACATATGAATGAGAATGAAGTTTTAAAGAAAATAGAAACTATGAAGAAGATTATACTTACAATCAGAAAGAGACAATTGAAATTTCTTGGGCACATGAGGAAATGAATTAGAGAAAATTTAGTTCTCACTTGTGTTTGTATGAATAGTTGGTAAAACAATGACAAGGAAGAGTGATTTATAGGCAAATATTACTAAGAGCAACAAGACAGGAAATTGTAAAGTCATGATCATCCATATCCTGCAAGTACATAGCATATAAAAGAAGTTTAACTCCTGCTGATATAAACATATCTATAAACAATTATCCAATATTCTGGGTTTGTCATCAGATTTGCTATAAATTTGATTTTTGTGAGCAACATAAAAGTTCTATAGAAAATGGTTTGGTTTTGGTGATTTTGTTTAGTGGCATATCAACACCTCTATGGTTTATTTAATGCCAAAATCTAAATATTTTGAACATATTTTATGGCTTCAAGTAATATATTTTGAATACAATTGTATTCTTTCAACTACAAATATTTTTATGAAAATTTTTTATGACTTCAGGGGTAAAAAATATTTTATAGATATATAGTTTGTAGATAATCTTTTGTAGGTGAGTCGCCCTTCCTGTTTTGGTCTCCAAATCACACTTCTGCCCGTTTTAGTATAAAACTAAGGAACGACTTTAAGTTTGAACATTATGTTGAGAGTTTCAATTTTCCAATAGTTTTCTCACTTGGTTTCCTTTTCATTTATGTTTTATAGGGGGCTTATTGATCAGTTGAAATGGAAGGCAAGGTCTTTGTTATATGTTGATTGATCTTTATTCTTCAGCAAGTATGAATATGTATGATATATGTGGAATGGATAGAAAATGAGAAATTGGTCTCATCCTATCTTCCTTTTTTCAATACCTGCCCCCATTTACCCAAGACTGGTTTGAATGTACAAAGTTTATTATTTGTATTGTCACGCCAATGCTTCTGCCATTTCTGTTGAATGAAACTGTTTATTTTACTTTTCAGATTCTTATAAGGGATCCTGAGAATATTATCAAGGGTTTTACTTTGGGCAGACTTTGTCAC